AATGCAGCTGGACAAAAAGTGTATGGCAAGAGTTGATGAAGTGGGCAGGTATTACATTGACAAATAATGGAATCAAGCAGGTAATAGAGTGTATAAAGGTGAAACACTGGAAGCAGTTTCAAAAGGAGGTCGTTGCAGCTATAAGTGGGGCGATACTTTATCATACTTGGAGAGCTAGAAACTGGAAAAAATTTAATAGGAAAAGTGTACATAGAGAGGAGGTAGTAACACAAATTAAGAAGGAGTTGATAGAGAGATTATATTTCTTAAGTAAATCAAAGAAGGCAAGAAACTGTAGTTTTTTCATTCAACACTTGCAATGTATTTAGTTGTTTTTTGTAAGAGGCCTAAGTACTTTTAGCAAGAATGGGTGCTCTTTATTTTGTAATTGTTTTTGATGTTATGGTAATGTTTACAGTGGTTACCAAAAAATAAATATGTTGTGCGGACATGAAAGAACCTTAATTTTCTTCCCTTGTCAAGTGAGATTTCAGTTTTTTCAATAAAATTATGTTACTCATAAATTACTTTTCAATTAGTTTTAGGGATAATTTCGCTATTATCACATTATGGGAAAACAAGTAATGGTTAAAGGTGTGTTTGGTACGGAGGAAAACATTTTTCGGAAAGTATTTTTCAATTTTCTCATGTTTGGTTGGGTAAAATATTTTGGAAAATGTGTTTCAAATCAACTCATTTTCCTCAAATTCAAGGAAAATGACTTCTCTTCAAAAATTAAGGAAAACATTTTCCAAAACTTTCCTCCAACTTCAAATTACAATTTTTTTGTTGAAAAAATAAATTTAAAACTTATTTTTAAATAGTATTTTGAACTTCATTTTTTTTTTTTACCCACCATCACCCTGACCTCCCCCTCCCGCCAGCCCCCTAACCCACCCCCCCCCCCCAAATAAAAAGAAATTTAAATTTTGTTTTTAAAAAGTATTTTCAATTTCAAATTTTTATTTTCACCCCTACACTCGCCCCCTACCAGCCCCCCGCCCCCAAAAAAAAAAAAAAGTTTGTTTTTAAAAAATACTTTCAATTTCAATTTTTTATTTTTCAACCCCCACCCTACCCCACCCCACCCCTACTCCCCCGGTCAACCCCACTACCAGCCCCCCCCCCACCCCCCAAAAAAAAATTAAATTTTGTTTTTTAAAAAATATTTCCAATTTCAAATTTTTAATTTTTTTACCCCATCTCCCCCTACCCATCCCCGGCTAGCCCCACTACCAGCCCACCACCACCCCCTCCCACCCCCAAAAAAAATAAAGTTTGTTTTTAAAAAATATTTTCAAATTTTTATTTTTTTACCACCCACGCTACCCCCCACCCGCGATCCCCTCCCCCCCCAATCAGCCCCACCCTCTCCCAAAAAAAATTAAGTTTGTTTTTTAAAAACATTTTTAATTTCAATTTTTTATATTTTTACCCCATCTCCCTCCTTTAATTTCAATTTTTTATATTTTTACCCCAGGGTTAGAGGTACACTAGGCTCATGATGTCCAATTGGACCCTCTTCATCGGAAAATTACATCGTATATATAAGTAAAATTATACTTTAAACGGTTAAATAAAGCATTTTGGACATCCTTAAGCACACTAAAGTTTCTTAGCCCAACGGTATCATGGCCCAAAGCGAAGGTTTATAATTGTGTGCATGCACGGGTTCGAATCCCAGTTGCTGCATTTATTTTTACATTTTCAAAAAGCTTCTAATTAATTTCTAATTACAGTTAATAAATCAGTTATGTTTTTAATAATTCAAAATTAATATTATCTATTTAAAATCTTAATTAGTGACCTAATCATAGTTAATAAATATGTTATTTTTCCAATAATTCAAAACTCATATAATCTATTAGAATAATCTCAAATTAGAAACCTACAACTTAAAAATATAACAAAAAAAAGCATAGTAAACATTAAATTTTAATCATTTTTTCTTTTCACTAAAATTTTATATAAAATTTAAAACTAATTATTTAATTTAAATTTAATAAGCAAATTCTAATTTTTTTTATAAAGCTACTAAAAGTGAAAAAGGCTCTATATAGAATTTCTTTTTATAAAAACTCGTTTGATTTTACTCTTTATTTTTCATATCTTGTTGTTAAGTCACCAAAGGTTGGTGAAATCTTGAAGTATAAAAGTGATTTCATTATAAACTGAATTTTCTCTTTCTCTTTTTTCTTTTTCGTTCACTTCCTATTAAATAAACATGAAAATTCAAGCTAAATTTTACGTTGTTTGATTTTTAAAATTTTAGTATATTTTTTAATTAAAAAAATAAATTGTTAATGTTACGTAGTTTGATTTCAAAATTTTAGTGCACCATCGTCAAATTATTTTTTTTACCTATGCGATTCTTGGACATCCTTCGTGAAATTTCTAGCTACGCCACTGTCCCCCCTCCCCCACCCTTCCCCAAAAAAATTAAGTTTATTTTAATATTTTCAGTTTCAATTCAAAATTTATTTTCTACTCTCTAGTAAAAATAAAAGATATTTTCTCAAAAATAATTTTCATTAATAAATCAAATACTAAAATATCTTTTCCGGGATACTTTCTACTCACCAACCAAACATGAGAAAATACGTCAAAAATCTACTTGTTTTCCAGGAAAACATTTTCCATGGAAAACATTTTTCTTCGTACCAAACACACCCTAAGAGTTTAACATGATTGAAAAAATAAGATGTTATACATCATTCTATGTTAACAATATTCTAAAAAAATAGTGTCAAATTTAGTTTATTAAATAAAATTTCTCAATCCTTTTCCAAGTTTGAGCAGGTTTAACTATGCGTATATATATTTACGATTTCGACTAAGCCATTTTTGAAGAAACTCTAGTTTAATCAAAATGTCATTCTCATTCATTCCAATGGATATAATTCGTTCTCGAAAGCTTGAATTTTGTAAAACACGAATGAGTCTTCCATTGCTACATAAATGATCTTTTTTTCCCAAGTCCTCTTTAATATAAATGAGTAGATCTTTATTATTTAATCGATTCAATTCAATTTATCGCCCTCAGCGAACTCTGTTTAAAAAAGAAAGATTATTCGAACCACATTTTTTTGTGTTATTTGTGGAATATATAATACATATATGATCATATGCAAAAATAAATATTAACAACTCTTCAATCGACAAAACAACGGAATTATAATATACTTTATTTCAATACAAAGCATTATAAAGGATTAGAGATGGTTTACTGTCACAGACGCACATTCATTAACAAAGAAGAGTTTGTATTATTTGGACGATATAAAGAAATTTGGTTTATTTTTATAAAATGATCTATATCCTAATTCAATATAAAGATAAGGATAAAAAAAAATTGGGAAGCAATACGTCACAATCCAAAAATACATTAGGCCATGAGGGCACCTACCATTTTTCATGGACGAATCTCATTCTTTTTACAAATCCACTTTAGATGGTTAGAAAAAGGAGACTCAATTAAAATATTATTATAATAAAATTTCCATATTTCAAGTCAAACAAAGTGAATAAATAAAACCCCCAAAATCTGGTGTCACAAATTCAAGAACATCACGTTTATTTTTGGATCGTGACATCTATATATACTTATTCCTTCCTATATGCTCTAGGAGCTGCGTACTTCAATACATATTTAAAGCAAAAAATAATAATAATAATAGAAATACATGTGATATATACATTTTAGAGGTGCAGATAGTTATGTTTCGGATGTTATTACTACTATATGGGTGAGCAAAAATCAATTTAATCGATAAGAATACTATTGATTTATCGGAACTGGGTTATTAATTCAGTTAATGATTTTTAAACGGTTTTGTAAAAAAAAAAAAACCTATCAAGTTATCGGTTCAGTTTTGAATTTTATGATTTTTGTTAATGGTTAATTAAATTAATAATCCAATGAGATTGTATTAAAATTATTATTTTACTTCTTATTATATAACAATGACTTTAACATTTTACCCATATATCCTTTCTAAATTTTAGTTTAACTTTTGGTTGGAAGCAACACAAACTAAGATCGCTCACCTCCATTGAGAGATCTTCTCTTTTCTTGACATAAACTAGTATTACCTTTTCTCTCTCAATTTTAAATTTGATTGACAAAGACAAACAATTAATGTTGTTTCCTCAATTTGTTGAATGAGTCTTTAGAAGAAATTCGAACAATTATTGTCTTAACCAAAAATAAACAATGTAGAAGTTTGCCTTGGACTTCTATTCTTGTTACTATTTCTATTTTTATGAAAATTGCATATATATGATCATATGAATGTGTGAAAAAGAATAAGAGTAATTACTTATTATTCTAAGAAAGCTAAAGAAAAAAAAAATTCAAAGTTTTTTGAGATGTTTTGTTTAACTAAAAGGAGAAAATGAGAATATGAGATTAAAGAAGGTAAAATGATTAATCCAAATGAGCAGGATAAATAAAAACTAGGAAGCAAATAATATCATAGGGATAAATTTTTCAGTACAAAAGTTGAAAGTAGCAAACATTAGAGACTAATCATCCATGATATATAATTAAAAAGGTCCCCCAATTAAAGTCGACCATCTTAAATATTAATTTTCTTCCAATGCAAGTAGAATATCTCCATAAATCCCAAATATTGCTTCACTCCTCCAACGCTAAACCTAAATAAATCAAGAATAATTTTTATGTTAGACAAGTTTTTCACTATGTATATTTATATAATCAATTAATAAAAATAACAAAAAAAACTACTACTTCCCCTATTCAGAATATCAGGATCAAGTTGACTAATTTTCAGTGTAAATTCAAATATATATTGTTAGAAGCATCGAAAAATATTATAAATTACCTTAGTTAATAATTTAAAATATCAAAAAAGCGATAATTGAATTTATTTAACTTTTAATAGTAAAATGTCACGTAAAATGTAACAAATCAAATATAATCAAGAAACTGATTGGTAAATAAGGATAGATAATAATAAAATCTTACATTGTTGTTGTTCTCACTTCTCAGCCAAGGTCCCATTTGGAGTATTTGGAATGTACCTAGCCCACTATAACAAGAAATTATTATATTATATTATATTATATTATATTACTTTATATAATTATACATGTGCTTGAAAAAATAATAAATACAGTAAACTTAAATTTTTAAAAAATAATTCATTTAACTCACATTTTTAGCTGCTGCACTGAAAGCTTCTCTGTGTGGAATCTCTGGATGTGCTGTTTTAATACGCTGTATCTCATCCCTTTATAATAATCAAATAAATTAAGAATAATTTTTTTAATAAATAATAATGATTACAGGATTTAACATATACTCCCACGTGTCAAAAAACTTGTCATATTTTTTATATTTTTTATTTACATGCAATATTGATTAGAAGAGATATTTGACAATTTATAATCTATTTTCATTTATATATTTACTGTATTTATGTGTCAGAATTGTGGTGTTTGTAATTTTGAAAAACAATTACTATTATGGATTAAATAGTAAGAAAATAATAATTTGTCTTGAAATTCTAAAATGACAATTATTTTGAGAATTTTTTTAAAATGAAAAATATTTTTGAGACGGAGGGAATATAATTTATGAGCATTTAAAAAAAACTAACTGAATGAAAAAAGAAAAGAAGAGGATGTTTTACTTCATGAACCGATTGTAGGCCGATGGTAGCCTGTGCTTCTTCTCAGGAGCTTCAAACATAGTAACAAAAAATAATATCATAATCAGTAATTTATATTATAAGCTAAACAGAGAGGTTGATTTTTATCGATGATCACTTAATTTTTACTTTATTATAGTTATAGTCATTTTATTATATTTTGTAACAGAAAAGAATATCACAAAAATTATGATATTATTTTTTTTAAAATGAAAAAAAATCACTCAGCTTTACCTAAATATTATAGCAAGTCATTATAAGGAGATAAAAGAGAATCTATTTATATGATATTTCATTACTAAAAACAAATTACTTAATTATCGAATTTGTTGATAATCTCCAATTAATTTAATGCTAAATAGCTCTTAACTAATTAGATTTTCTTATAATTCATTGTTAATTCATAACTAAATTAAATCGGCACAAATTATTTGTTGTTTAACTACATAATTTTATCAATCGCTAATTTCTTATTTTCTAGTAATTCTTAGGCAAAGTTGAATAACTTAAAAAATAAATTGTTTAGTAAATTAATTGGTGTGCTTTTGGGGCGAAGTTCAATGACAAGAATATAGTGACATTTTCGACTCTATTTAAGTAAAGTTGAGTGATTCTTTATTATGTTACAAAAAATATAGTTTAAAAACTTTTGTATACAATAAGATAAAAAATTTAAATGTCAACTATACATTATTATAATCAACCCAACAAATAGACAAAAGGAAGACAAATTATATATATATATATATATATATATATATATATATATATATATGCTTACGTTTTACAACAAAAGGTGCCTTTGGAGATGATGGTTCACTTGAAGATGAAGACTGTCCCTTCTTGAAATTGTTGAACAAATCTTGATGCTTAAACAAAAAAAAATACATACATTTTTTTTTTGAGAAAATCAATAAAAATGGAAAGTAAACTAAATAAATTAATTTAATATTAATTACCTGATGAATGGGTTGGTGATCATAAAATTGTGGTTGAAGTGGAGGTCTACTGCTTAAAAAGGAAAGATTACCACAATGCCCACATTTCACTGTCACAGTATCCAACAGCTTCTTGCATGGAATTCCCACCTACATATAAGTTATAACCCCAAAAAACATATATAGCTTAAAAATTATATTCATCGATAGTATAAAAAATAAAATTATATATAAAAAGTTTAAAAATATTTTTATATGTATATATAGTAGCTGTTGAATCATCTTAGTTTCATTGTATTTTAAATTTTAGTTTCGTCACTACGTATGACTAACCTCTACAACATGTTACTAATTTCATTTATTATGAGTATTTATCTTTTAAATACTATTTTTAAATGACGTTGTTAGTATATTTACATTGTCAATATATAAAAATTTAAATCCAAAAAAAAAAACACAAAATATTGACAATATGAGTGTGTTGCATTTGCACGTGTATTGTGTATATATGATGAAAAATAGAATGTTGAAAAGTGAAGAATGAGAGAAATGATCGTTATACATATAACTATGTTGTATATATAGCATGTGATTTGACAAAATAGATTTGTTATCTCTTATCTTATGCTATATATTATAAAAGTCAAATCATATATAAGAAGGAAACAATCATAGTAGCTTTCTATTGAACTTTCATGTCTTTCTATTCCATTTCCCTTTACTAGGAAAAAAGACTGATTCAACGAGATATGTCTGTTAAATAAAATAATAATAGTACGTACCGCAAGAATAATGTTACAGAAGCTGCAACGGACATAGCAAAGATGTTCAGAAGGATCCATGGAGTTAATTTTATGATCAGCAGATTCCAATAAGTTGAGACAAGAGGAATTAGGAGAAGAGGAAGACATATATATAAGTAGATAAGTATATATTTTTGGACTTTGAAGAGTATATATATAAATAGTTCAAAGATGAGAGTAAAATACAAGGCAAATCATATAGGGTTTTTGGGTTTGTATCCAGCTAGATTGATGCTTTTGGACTATCCCTTAAAAATAGATATTCATTTTTTACTCGTCCAGTATTAAATTGACATATTTTTTAAGAAATAATAAATATAGCGTCAATTTTATTAAACCATCATTTATATATAGTCAATATTTCGGAAAAAAGATTATAGTTTATAATAAGAACAAATTAGGAATTATAAATCATTTATTGAGTTTTTAAATTATAAGTAAAAGGAAATATCTATTTTGTAATATAATGAACAAATAAAAGTGGATTCACGAAGAGAGTAATAATTTGAATTAACACCTAGTTTAAGAAAAAATTAGAATGTGTAATCTTAAACTTTCTATATCATTTAGATGTTAAATTATATTTTTTTGAAACTCTTGAGCTTAAATAAATCACACATTCATGTGACTATGAAAGCTTCTTATTAATAATTAATTGGAAAACTAAAATTAAATTATTTTTACATGTAAAAGTATGTTAATTTTTTTCAATATATAATAATAAAAAATATATCACATAAATTAAACGCGGAAGTATTAGGATTATCACAAAAGAAACAGACCAAGAATATATATATAATTCTTCTAATGGTGAGTATGTCTTTTCAAAAATTGGTCCTACCATGGATAGTATCATATTTGTTTGAGACACAAAAAATAAATAGCATGCAATAATGTTTAATTAACTTGATAAAGATGAAGTGTACACATTGGTTTTGCGATTTTAAAAAATAAATTATATGCACTTAATATTTATATCAAATCAATAAATACATAATATATGATAATGTCAAGAAGCATGATAATTCTTGTGACAACATTATAATATGGAATTATATCTTTAGGTTATTCACCAAAGGTTCTTGGTATTATATGATGTGTTATGCAAGTGTCTGAATTAATGTCAGTGTCCTTGATTTAGGAAGAAAATGGCAATCTCTTTCTTATAGATGCTGATGGAAGTGTGGATAAAGCAATTTGACTTTTTAAATATAAATTAAATTGATTTTGAGAAAAAATGACAAAAATGATCTAGAAAAACTATGAAAAAGAACTCATATTTAGAGCCTAGAAGTATACTTTTTGTAGTTTTTTAAAAATCTGATCCAACTTTTTGAGATGTAATTTGTGTTATTTTTTATAAAAATATATTTCTAGTGTCTAATACAATTTTTTGTATTGCATATTTTAGGATTTGATGTGATTTTTTTGATGTTTATAATTAAAATATTTGTTTTACTGTTTTTGTCAAATTTAGTAAACACAAATCGCTAAATGTTTGATAGAGACTAAAATAATTAATTTTTGTATACACTTAAAAGACCAAAATTATTCAGCGAATACTTAAAAGAAACTATTTTAACCTACTCTCGAACATAAAGGACCATTTTATCACTTTTTAAATATAAATTAAATGAATTTATATGACAAGTATAAGCAAGCAATAATTGGTATTATGTAACCATAGAGTTGTAGTGGGATGCTTCAATCTCAATTAGACGTCTTAATTTTAAGTTTTTGAGAATAAAAAAAAATGTATAGGGAGTGCCTCTCCTAAAAATGAGCCTTATAATATTCGAACCAAGTTAAATTATAATGCAGATATCGAACACCGAACAACCAAAAAAAACTGTCATTCTAACAAAAGGACATTTTGAATTTAGCTTGAAAGATAGGTAATTTAATCACAAGAAGACAATACATTGGATATGCAATAATTCTTATAGTACTACTCTGATTCTTTGAATTTAATAAATTTTAATTGTCCCTTCAGATTTCAACAGATACTGTGCAGCATCTTTATGTAAAGCTTTTCCCTTTGCCACTCCTATCAAATAAAAGCTTATCTAATCAACCTATACTATATTTTGTTTCTTTTGATATTTAGGGCAAATAAATTTCCACTAACATCAAAGAAATTAATATTGTTGTGATTTTGGTTTTCTTATATATATATATTGATACATCAAGTTTGATATGGAGATTTACCTAATATTATAAGTCAATTTAATCTAATAACATTACAAGCTTCTTAGAATCGGACCTTATGCTATTTCTATTCTTTTACTTTACTGATTTATTCTATTTTATTTCATACTCCTTAGCTTTGTTCATATTAATTAAGCAAGTTATATTATGTAATGTTGGGTTGTGAAGGGTGATTGGACGTCATGCGGAAGCTTACAATTTGCAAATCATATAGTTGATAAATCAGATAACAAAAACTTATATTAAAAACTCATATAAAGAAAAACATTGAAACTTTAGAGAGAATAAATCTCCCCATAAACAAGAATCTTAAACGACTACATTGTGGATATTATTGTTTTTGTGTTAGAAGAAACAAACTTATATTTATAGAGTCCTAAAACTTTTTCTTACTAGAAAAAGAGTCCTAAAAGGAGAGAATAAATCAAATATGAAAGAATATTATATTTTCCTTTCAAGAAAAGTAAAAACATTTATGTAATGTTTTGTCTTTTCTTTAAGGAAAAATAAATCTTAAATTATGGTAAGAAAATCAGGGCAAAACCCTAACAAATCTCCCCTTTTGGCTGGATTTTCTTGATAAAGCTTGATCTGTCTTCTTCATTGCATGATAATCTTGTTCTTCACAAAATCTTCATGTATCGCTGCTGCTTACCATGATTTAAAAATTGATATGGGTTAAAATTGGAGCCCTGTGTTAAAAGTGATGAACAAGGTTGAAAGTGGAGCTCATGCGTTAAAAGTATTACGCATGAGTTGAAAGTGGAGCTCATGCGTTAAAAATAAGATGCATGAGTTAAAAGTGGAGTCCGAGCATTAAAGTTTGCAGGGGTTGAAAGTTGGAGCTCATGCTCTAAAATAAACATGAGTTGAAAATTGATTTTGTTTTAAACGATGGAGCAGCAGGATATTGTTGAAAATATATTTGAATTTTTTTCTCCACATGTAGTAGCACAAAAATATTCATTATCATCAAATTTGTTGCAAATTGATTTGAAACCACTTGAACTTTTCTTCAATCTTGTTGAACCATTGGATCATTGAACCATGTGCTCTGATACCACTTGTTGGGTTGTGAAGGGTGATTGGGAGTCATGCGGAAGCTTACAATTTGCAAATCATATAGTTGATAAATCAGATAACAAAAACTTATACTAAAAACTAATATTATTATTATATGAAAACTAATATAAAGAAAAACATTGAAACTTTAGAGAGAATAAATCTCCCCATAAACAAGAACCTTAAACGACTACATTGTGGATATAATTGTTTTTGTGTTAGAAGAAACAAACTTATATTTATAGAGTCCTAAAACTTTTTCTTACTAGAAAAAGAGTCCTAAAAGGAGAGAATAAACCAAATATGAAAGAATATTATATTTTCCTTTCAAGAAAAGTAAAAACATTTATGTAATGTTTTATCTTTTCTTTAAGGAAAAATAAATCTTAAATTATGGTAAGAAAATCAGGGCAAAACCCTAACATGTAAATCATGTATTTTGGTCATTGTGTTTCCTTAAATCATGTCTACATATTTAATTGCACCATTTTAAGGGCAAACACTTTCAAAATTCATGCATCTCGTCTTGACATTTTTCTTCACTCTGATGGCATGTGGTATTTACTGATTCAACTAATTCAAATTTGATTCGTTTTAAACTCAATAAAAGAGATAAAATACTCTAATTAAGAATTTCTCCAACAACTTAAATTGAATAAAGAGGAAGTTAATATATAGGAATACTATACGATAATTCCAAGGACGAATAAAGGGATCATATAAACAAACAACAAGGACAAGACAGAAGTTAAATGAATGCACGAATGGATGATCAATTAAACAATGTTATGCTTATGCCTCTGATCATCACACTTGTTCCGTATTCATTTTGAAAATCGACTAATTCAAACGTCTGTAGAAAAGTCTCATTTTAAAACATAAAATGTTCATTATTAAAAACAACTACATCCCTAAAGCTTTAACTAGAGACATATAATTTTAAAACTCCATTATTTATGATCTTAGATAATTGGCATAATGCATAAATATGTCATTTAACTTGGCTTCACCTGGTATTTATGCTCTCCAACTTTGGGTATTTTCAAGTATGCACTTAAACATAACTTGTATAAAGTTGAATAAGTAGCGCACATGTATGTGTCCTACGTGACATATATAATACACGTATGACACAAAGTAGCCACTTAGGATGTGTGTATCTATTTATTCAATTTTATACAAGTTTAAATGTCTATTTGTACAGTACGATGAAAGTTGTAAGCTGTGTGTTCGGGGGGAGTTATTGTCTATCGTTGGCCTCTATGGTAGAATCAGTCGGGAGACCTGAGAGGCGGTGGTTTACCCTGCGGCGGATGTCAGCGGTTCGAGTCCGCTTATCTCCCACTCGTGAACTTAGCCGATATAAGTTAAAAGGACATATATTTATGTATTAAGACTAGATAATTTATACTTATTGATATCCATCCTAATTACATCTACTAACCCTTTTTTCCATGTTTGTGGGTGCCATAATATTAAAGAAAGAAAGTTGAAAATGACCAGTGCTACAATCACAAGTCACTTTCATAGTGATCTTTTGAGGCAGCTTAGGAGAGGAAAGTTTGTGTCTTTTTATTGATGGGACTATTCAAGAGTTTGCTAAACAAGGAAACTACCTATTTCTACCCTTCATCCTCTACAACTTTCTTTCATAGTATAAACGACTTTCCCAAGGTGGCCCTCCCATATACATATAGAGCTTTTCCAAATTAATGTCTCATGCATGCAAAATTAAGTAAATCAATGCCCCTTTATGGCCACAAGATTCCGCCCCATTTCTTCCTCGAACTTATTGCCAAAGAGTTTTAGGTAATAAACATTATAAAAGTAAATAATTTTTACTCTAGTGAATCATCTTTTATCTATTGTAGTAGGTGAA